GATAGCGTAATCATTGGTGATGATGTAGAAAAGATTGCATAATAGAAACAATTTCTACAACAAGATTTACAGACTAAAGATATAGGCAATCGTCAATATTTCTTGGGTATTGAAGTCGTTAGGTCTCGAGTAGGTATCATTTATCTCAAAGAAGTATGTAGTTGACCTATTAAATTATCTTTCCTTACATGATTAGATTTTTTGTATGCAGTTAATGTCATTAATTAGTTATTCGATGCTCCTAGAATATCGCATTGGGAAGCTGTGATACACATTACTCGATATTTGAAAAAGGCCCTAGGTCTTGGGATATTGTACAAACCAAATAGATGTATTAGAGTAGAAAGGTTTACAGATGCAGATTGGTAGGATCTTCATCAAATAAATGATCTACTACTAATTTATGCACTTTTCTCGATGGTAATCTTGTGTTTTGCAAAAGTAAGAAACAAACTGTAGTGGAAAAGTTAAGTACAGAAGTAGAATATAGAGCAAGGGATCATACCACTAGTGAGTTGACATGGTTGCAATTCTTTCTTCAAGAAATCAATCTCTCACCTTCTATCCTTATTTCGTTGTTTTGTGATAATCAGGTTGCTCTACATATTGTGTCTAATCTAATCTCTCATGAAAAGACCAAAACACATTGAAGTTGATTGTTACTTTGCTCAAGATAAGACATTGAGTGGTGATAAATGTACACTATTTGTGAAGATTAGAAACTAGCTTGTTGATTTTTTTATGAAGTCCCTAAACAGTAATCAATTGAGATTTCTTTGTTCCAAGTTGGATTTATATGATACATATATATACTCTAGCTTGCGAAGGAGTGTTAAGAAAATAAATTAATAATGAGTCATATATATTAGTCAATGAGGAATCATGTATATTGGGTTTTCATAGTTTACCGATTTTCCATATTTGAATTCTTGACTTTAGTCGATATGGTAAAAGTAGGAGAGGAAGATGTTTACCTTCCTCGCTCTATAGCTTATACAAAATTGTTGTCTAAAATAGTATAATTGGGTAATAATACTAGGTGTAGGTATATTAAATTGGGTCAAATGCGTTTGATTGAATGTCGGCCTAGTTTGAGGTGTGTATATGGGTGTAGTGGGCTTTGGGTATTGGTTGTACAAGGTAAGTGATTGTCCTTTTTTTGGTGTTAAGGTTTGTGGGCAATAGTTTGGTCTATTAAGAATAGCAGTAGGAGCAACAGCACAGTAACGAACCTTTTTTTTTTTTTTTTTGAAATAATAACTATTGACAAAGAATAAACTACCTTATTTTTTTTTTCCTTTGCATTTTACACAAAAAAAATAAAATAAAATTATTACTACTATACCCATGAACAATTCTTTTTTTTTTTTTTTTTCATTTTTTTTAAGAAAGAACAAATATCCAAAAAATTGGAGAACAAAGGAAAAAAATTGCTATGGTTGTTTATGCCCTTTTTATTTCTGTTTGTTGTATTGGTGTGAGGTTACTATAAAGCTTAAGATGCGTTGTGAAAGGTGGTAGTGTGTATGATTTGATGGAAATGGATTTGTTAGTCAAAGGAAACTATTTGTGCTTTGATACCAAACTGACGCAAAATGTAATAGAACAATTGTAGAAGAATGGGAAATGGGTGAGAAGAGAAGAAATGAGGGAGAGAGGAGGTGAAGAAGGAAAGAGGAAGAGAGAAATTTAGAGAGAATTAACTATTCCATTATCAAAGTTATGAATTACATTGCATAAGACCACTTGATATAGGGTTTCAAAAGATTCTATTTCAAGTAAGAAAATAATATAAAATTTAACAAATTAAATCCTAATGATATTTTCTAAAATAAGCATTAAAATTGGAAACCAAGTATAATAATATCCCTTCTAATATTCCATCACTGAGCACTATATAAATTGAGATATAAATTACCTGCTGAATTAGCAATGGAGAAACTCATAATTTAATGGCTTAACAGTCGAGAGATAAGTTGTTCAAGTTTTCCTATATTTTCTTTTTCTTCTTCACCTTTACAACAAGCTGCAGTTGAAAGATGATTCTACTTGACAAATTGATGTAACCGTTCTACTTATCTGTGGCAAAGCTTTTTCAGCTTGCGTTCTTATTCAATTTTAACTGACAAATTGAAAGAAACATACATAATAACAATGATACCAATAGAAGAGTACAGAATTTTGTAGCTTTTCATGAAAGAGAGAGAGAGCTAGAGCAAACAATTCCAACTGCTTAATGAACTTAGAACCATAAATACAACAAAAACTACACATCGTTATGTATTCACTGACAAAAATGTTCTTTCCTTACTCCTATGCGTAAATGAGAAATCTAAGCCACAAGTCCTTTAAGATTTGAGGTGCTAGCAGTACAATGGTCTGATCAACAATAGTAATTAATAAGGCTGGACAAAGCTCTTAAGCCGAATTCGAACCTAACTGAACCGAGCAAAGCAAACCTTCTTAAGTTAAATACCTAAATGGGTATTTGAATTTAGAACCGACGAGTTTAGTTCAGTTCTCGATTTTAGACCAAGATTTGAAGAACTGAATAGGAATTGAATCTCCTAAGTTTTTTTATATTAAATAAGTCAAATTGTTTTATTTTATTTTGAATAATTTTGATAACTAATTAATTTAGCTCAAATCTAAAATATGATTTTTCTATTTCTAATTTTCAGCCCAAGCCTAATTTATCAAATTGATCTAAAATTTACCTAAATCTCTCATTCTACCGTAGTATCATATTTGTCAAGTCTGAACAAATTGAATTGGAAGCTCATTGTGCCTCTTTTCATTATTTTTAGCTTGCTATCAACAGAGGATTTTATCAGTCAAATCTATGAAGAACTCAACAAAAAGAGGTGCAAAAGATATCATGGAATTGGACTACGTTATTTTATGAGAACTAAGATGGAACGTCTCATTATAATATCATTTGGTGATAATAAATAGAATTATACATTTGATAATCGAGTAATGCTATATAGCCAACTGGTGTTTACACCGACCCAAATTCAATTAAGTATTATAAGTCCTATTTTAGATGAAGAATCACTTGACACCTAAATTATGTTGTTCAGAATATGGTGGAGAAAGGGTTGTTTTTAATGAATCAACAAAGTAGAAAAGTTTAATTCGTAGAAGCATAATTAAACATAACAAATTTTAGAGGGTGTGTAAACCAACAAGAAAATGAGAAGAAAGAGATCCGAGCCAAGTGGAAAATCACTCTTTCCTTAAGACAATATTGTCCTGCAACGGTGCTAACGGTGTATGGCATTTGTCTCCCAATAGACAATGGATTCAACTTGTCGTAGAAGTACTTCGAACCACAAGTTTCAATGAACTTAGGACGAAGTCTTCTCTCTACAAGAAGAAATGGGATTGGAATGATTTTGAAGAGTTTTTGCAAGAGATTTTATGCAATGCTCAATGTAAAAGTAATATATGATGCATTATAGGCGTCCAAAGGATTCTGTTATAGAGGATGAGGGATTGTAGATGAAGTAATATGTACTAAACCTCGCAACTTTATGAAGGAAAGCCTTAGTTGTTGTCACTAGCCTCTCGCTGGCCTCTCGTTTGAGCACTAGTGTCAAGATTTTAACAAAAAGTTTTCATCGTCTTGTCTCTTGAGCGCAGCCCCGTTGCTCGAGCGATAGGCTAGTGACTAAGAGGCAAAATTGAAGCCAGCTTTCTTATATTTTTCTTTCAAATTTGGATCATAATTTCTCATTCATCCGAAATTGATTTTGAGATTCTAAATATACCACGATTATCTTCTCGACGAGTAGAACAAGTTAATATATTTATATTTGTGATTTGACCATCGGATCAAATCCAAATATTTGGTCGAAATTGATATGAAAGTCACTTATCCACATATATACTTAACCAAATTTTCTCAATTTTAAACCAATTTCCAACAAATTAATGTTAACATCTATTTAATTACATGGTAAAAATAGCATTACTCCTCGTAATTAAAATCTAACCTCATAATTATTAAAAGAATCTTGTATTAACAATAAAAAATACGAACGCGTTCCCTAAGAAAGACCGAGGCAGATTAAAGTACCAAATATTTACTGAGTAGTGCTATTTAGTCTCACTGGAATTGTAACTCTAGTCTAGATGGTACTAATATGGCATTAATTGATCGGTGGAATTAAATAACTCATTTAATTTCACCTTTCATTTAACTTATCATTTAGTGCCATAGTAATTGAGGTTGCAATCCTAATAGGACTACATTGCTTTACTAGTATGTACATCATAAATACAATTCCCAATTCAATAAATTCTGCTTTGGCCTTTTATAAGTAATTGAATTTTTGTTGTTGTAACGGTCAGTGGTTCACAATTAATACAGTTGTTGAACTCCACCGAGGGAATATTTTTACATAATTATGATTGCTTAATAATTTCCTCACAACCCTTAAATAAAACCCATAAATTCTTACTAGTAATGAGCTTAAATTCTTTGTGGGTTCTTTTACGGTTTTACCATATGACTAAAATGAATTTCATCACGTAATATACTCGACTCGATATTACTCGATAGCTAAGATGCCTCGAATGAGTAAACTTTGTGTTCCCAGGGTTGTATTTTCAGTAACTGTTACTAGATGCATTGTCAGAAGCAGAAAGTCATTGAATTATCATCTTTGTACAAAATATTCTCCAAGAGAATGTTTTGATGATGAATTTGAGGGTCCTTTGCCCGTCCTAAAAAGTAATTTCACCTTTGAGATGCCTTATAAAAGCTTTCACTGCTCAAATTTCACCCAATCATGAATACATATTTGAACTTATCCAAGGGTACGGAATTCAGTGGAGAATTTTCCTGCTCTATAATCAAATTTCAAAAGACTAAACTGACCCTCAGAACCTCTAAAAAGCTGCACAACTAGACAAGTTATGACAACAGGCATGCCCAAATATTTATGCTCTTTTGTATTCACATAGACTAACTCGCCAAGAAGAAAATTCTCTTAATGGATTCTCATTCCCTCTATCGAGATGAATTTTCCGTTAGGGTTTCGCGGTGGCCGATGGAGAACATGGCGGTTCGACCGGTCGGTGTTCGACCTTATAATAGGTCAAAAATGCCTCGATTGAGATGGACACAGGATCTTCACCAACGCTTCGTCCACGCCGTTGAGCGACTGGGTGGAGAATACAGTAAGCTTTAATTTTAATGATTTTTGCATGTGCATGGATATAGAAAGTAGAAACTTTATTGTGTGTGATTAATAAGAAATTGAGTAGAAATTCATTAGTTTTGTTAATCATTTTTTTTTTCTTGGTAGGAGCAACTCCGAAAATGGTGCTGGAGTTGATGAATGTGAAGGGATTAACTATAACTCACGTAAAGAGTCACCTTCAGGTTGAAGACAAAAATCCTTCTCTCCATGGAAGAATTTTTTTTTTTTTAATATCATGACGTAATCAGTTTTTAAGGAAAATATTAATAATATCTCATTATTCACTAATGGACAGATGTACAGGAGCACCAAGCATGAGCAGATGTTACAAGGTATGCACACAAATATATATATACCAAATCATATAAATGTATATGACTGTGTGTGTACATATATTGCTTTTCAAGGATAAAGAGTTTATTTTTCCATTCAAAACTATCATCTTGACTTATTTATCTCATTAAAATTAATTTTAATTTTAGGGAAATTTATTCTTTATATGTAGATTATATACAAGATAGAAGAATTTTCAAAACAAGATTTGTCTTTCAAATCAAGATTAATTCATTGTTGCCTTGTCATAAAAAGGAAGTAAAAAGAATGTAAACAATGGGAAAAAAAATAATTCGTCTTTGAATGATTGTACTTACTGACGATATATTTTATTAATGTTTTCTAAAATTTTGTCGAATAATGACAAATTTGACAACCCAATTTTAGTTGTTGATGATTCTTACCAAAAGAAAAAAAGAAAAAAGGAGTAATTTTTTAATACTTGCATTTTAATAAGAGTGGTGTCATTATATAATGGCGATGATAGCCTTCCATACGACAATGCGAACACTTATTTATTAAACATTATAGTGGTGGGATCACTGTCACATAGACTACCGTTCATCGTCCTAGATACTAATAACATTATTCTTTTAATTATAATTAGATAATTAATGTTATGAGGCACTTACAGACAATTGTGGTAAATTGATTTTGTATTAAATCCACTTGTAACCGGCGGATGACCACTGCCACTGAAACCTTTGTGCATATGATGTCCAACAAAATAAGAACTTAAAATGAAAATATAGAAATTAATTAGGTTGTTCTCTTTACCACCTCTGCAGAAATTTTTAGCAACACTACTAATTAAGATTAGTGTATGATTTAAATTTTTTTATTCAGTACATACCTAGTTTTTTCTCCAGGAAAGAGTTGAAAATGGGAGTAGTTCTAATTTATATATATATCAATCACGCCTTATCATTTTTCATTATTCTAATTATACAACTTATGTAACTGAATCGCATTGTACTAATCTTTTTAGAAGACGATACATATTGAAGAGGCAATTGAAACCTTAATGTCTAAATGGTTTATGTTGTCAAGTAGAAGCAGAAGCAGAAGCGAAAGCAGAAGCAGAAGCCGGGAATTCCAAGCAAACAAACCATCAGCAACATTACTGTCATGGATTCACCGGTAACAACATGATCTACAGTGAATATTATGGGACTTGTTACGATTTGGAGATTGCCCCAAGAGCCACCACCAAACCAACAATATGGTTCGTCGAAATTCATCTGTTTAGATTTGATTATTAGAAGCAATATAGTTCAATGTCTAAGAAATACTAGGTATGCATGATTTTTCTCGATTGTTTGATCAAACCATTTTGGAAATTAATTCATAGGCAAGCGCTCCAACAAAAATCAGATGAAAGGAACGGTTTTCGTCCATTATCATACTCCAATGTAACAACACAAGAATATGAACATGGATTCAATGATTCGACGTCTATCATGTTCAAGGACTTTTTGAGCAGCTTCGATTCTCAAGTAATAACTAAATACCTATATTATTCTTATAAAATGTCCTAATGAGAAAATTCAATGGATCTAACTATGCTTTATATTTTCAGGGTGGTGAGGAGAAACAAATATTGGCAGCAGTGCAGGATGAGAACAGTTTAAAGTGGCTTCCAAATTCCTTGGCAGTAGAATCTGAGGGTACTTTGCCTTTGAAATTAGCTTTAGAATCAACAGTCTCCATAGATGGAGCCAATGATGTTTCCCTTGAGCTAACTCTTGCTTAATATTTGCATGGCATGAAGATATAACTAATTAATTAGAAAAGAATTTAAAACCTATTATAGACCTATGTAATGTAAATCTGGGGATTTAAGCGGGAAGAATTTATTTGAAGGAACTATTAAATCTGTAATATAATTTAGTCTTCCTCAATGTGCCTATATTTAATATCATTGACGTTTTCTTTATAGTTTATAGAATGTGAAAAAGAAAATTATTACGTCGAATGCCCATGGGAGAAGTCATGATGCAGTACAAATAGAAGAAAAGTTCACGAACAAGTGAAATAAAGGATAGAAAAAATAAATTTTCGAAGTGTCCATTTTTGAAAATTGTGTCTAATTTGAGAGGAAACGGCCCAGCAAAATGCGTTTTTCATTATTCTGGATTTTTAAAAAATTTTATTAGGATTTTAATTTCGTTTAAAGTTTGATTTTACCTAATTTTTATCATTATTTGGGGTTAGTCGTTATCTATGAGTATAGTTATTATTTATTATTTATTTTATTTTTTAAATATGAATTGTAAGCCTTATAACAATTAGTTGAATTTTGAATAAATAAAGAATCTTTGATCTGATGTGATAGATTTGGGAACTCTATGTAATTGAACAACCCCACTGAAAAATAGTTTGGCAATACTCGATGCATTTGAGGTCTTCTGACAAGTTATAAATTGAGCCATCTTAGAGAACCTGTCAACTACTACAAAAACAAAATCTAGACCTCGTTGAGTTCATGGCAATCCTAAATTGAAATTCAAAGCAAAATTTTGCCATATGCCTTGAGGAACAGGTTGTGTCATGTCCATGTATTTTGTGCTTGACCCTTCGAACTTGATAAGTGTAACATATTCGACTATAATTCTAACATCTCGCTTCAACTGTGGCGAATAATACCCAGCTTCCAAACTGATTATCATTTTATCGCTCCCCAAGCTTCTACTTAGACCTCCTCTGTGTAGATCTCGAATTAGTCTTTCACATAAAGAAACGAGAATGCAAAGCTGGTTGCCCTTAAACATAAACCCATCGCTAATATAGAAATCTGCCACTGATTCATGATTCATATACATGCTCCAAATCTCTTTAAAGTTAGAATCATCTGCATACAGTTCTTTCAAACACTTAAATACAACAATCTCTTATGACAGCATGACCGGCAAAAGGCTCTTTGAGTAAGGGCGTCGATAACTTTATTTGAACTTTCATATTTATGTCTAATTACAAAAGTAAATTTTTGGACGAAAGTCACCCACTGAGCATGCATCTTACTGATATGTTTCCAACTATTAATAAACTTTAGGGCTTAATGATCGAAGAACAACACAAACTTATTCTCTACGAGATTGTTTTACCATTACTTTAAAGCCCTCACAACTGCATATAATTCTTGCTCATAGGTACTCAACTACTGCGTTACTTCACTTATGTTTTCTAAAAAGAAAGCTCCATGTCTCTTCTCTTGAGAAAGAATAGCTTCAACACTCATACCACTAGCATCACACTCTACTTCAAATATCTTCTTGAAGCTTGACAAAACTAATACTGGAGACGTGCACAACTTTTCCTTGATGAAAGTGAAGCTCTTATTTTGCTCCTCTCCCCAACTAAATCTTTAATTCTTCAAACATTCTGTAAGTGGTGCCACAATAGTGCTAAAATGACTGATAAATCGCCTATAGGAAGTTGCCAAATCGTGGAAACTCCTTACTTTAGAAACTATTTTTGGGGTGTTGCCAATCTCAAGTTGCTCTTGTCTTCTCTTCATCGACATATAGACATTCTTCACCAACCACAAAGCCTAGAAATAACAGCTTATGTGTACAAAAGTACACTTCTTTTGGTTGATTTACAGTTATTTTCCTTCAGAACATATTTAATACATATAGGACTTCCCTCAACTAAACCAAATGATCTTCTTTGCATTTGCTGTAAATAAGTATATAATCGAAATAAACTATAACAAACAACCCAATCAAAGGACGAAGAACCTGGTTAATCACTCTCATGAAGCTGTCAGGACGTTGGAGAGTCCGAATAGTATTACCAACCATTCATAAAGTCCAACTTTACTCTTGAAGGCATTCTTTCATACGTCTCCAGGTTTGATACAAATTTAATGGTAACCACCATGAAGTTTTATTTTCGAAAGGACCTTAGAATCTTCCAGCACATATAACATGTCATCCAACTGTAGAATGAAAAATCTATACTTCACTATTATCTTGTTGATGACATGACTGTCAACACAAATGCCCTACTTTCGATCATTCTTTGGCACTAAGAGGACAATTATAGTATGCATACTCATATTTTCCCTTATGAATCATTTCCTCAACAGTTCCTCAATTTGCTTTTACAGAATCTCATTCTTCTTCAGACTTATTTAGCAATGAGGTAGATTTGGAAGACTAGCCCCAAGAACTAAATCAATCGGTGCTGAATATTCCTCATAGGAGGTAAGTCATTTGGCAGCTCATCGAAAACCAAATCTTCAAATTTTGTAAATATTTTTTACATTTTAGACAGAACACTCTCACCTTCTTTATTAACTGTAAAAAGTCAGTTAACCACCACTGGATAAAAGTAATCACATTCTCTTACAAAATCTACAATCTTCTCCTCATTAATTATAAGGATAAAGAAGCTCTGGATTCGTTATAGGGTAGACTTCTTTACCTATTCGAGAGGAACCATAGCGATCTTATGACAACCCCATAGGAAGAGTCCCATTATCATGCCTATTGAGAGTTGAATCCACATCAAACTACAATGGATGATCCAATAAGATGTGACAAGCATTCATGTCTATGACATCACAAATAATTTTATAATTATGGTGCTTACCAATGGAAACAGATACTTTGCAAGTTTTAGTAACCTGAATTGAATGACCTCTCTTCACCTAATCAAGGGAACAAGGTTTAGAGTGTTCTTAGTTGGTAATTTCAACAAATTCAATTCACACTCTTTATTTTCGATTGAACAAAGTGAATAAAAGGTGAAGAAATGATGTCCCTCCTCCTTAGGCGACAAAAGGATCCATTGCAATCCCATAATGAGCATTTCAACACCTTCTTCAACAACAAACTCAACTTTTGCATACTCATCTTCCACATCAGTGTCTTCATCATCGTCATTAGCTCAGATTCCACCAAATTGACTCGCCTTCTTTCCGAAAAAGTATTGAAATAATGCCAGTCTTATGGCATCTATAACAAATATCTTTTGTGGGCTTAGCATATGGATTTTGACCTTTGTTTCCAAATCGACAACTATTGTCAACATTGCTCCTATTAGGGTTTGTTGTGAGGTCTTTGTTTGAAGGAATGGATGATGATGGTTCAGTAGGTGGAGGAACTCTTCTATAAGAAATCATTCTCTTATAAGATTTGATCATCGCTATGTTAGTGGCTTTCTGCAATGTCTAAATATTCTACAACCCAATTCTATATTGAATAACTACTGGTATACCTAGCAACCCTTTGATTTTCGAATTCTAATAGGTTGTTCTGCTTTGCCAACCACATAAATTCATTGGTATAATTCGATAATGTGCGGTTATCCTACTTGCATCCCAGGTACATGTGATACAAAACTTGTTCATAATTTGTTGTGGAAATCAATCATCATAGATTGCTTCATTTTTCTCTAAATTTCCTTATCTTCTTTGGACATTCTATAATTGACCCTACCATACTGTTGTTGTAAACTTCAAATAAAATGCCACCATCTTAACTATCTTGTGCTCTGAAATATCCATAATTTTGAAAAATCATTCAACTCCTACCAAATAATCCAAGAAGTCCTCGATCTTCATATTACCAAAGAATAGGGAAGTGTCCGCTTTAATTCAATAATCATCAAAGTAATTTTGACTCTAATGATTAGGGTTTTGTGACGCTTCAAACTTGTCATCTAACTTTGATTCGCTTTCTTCTACTACAAGTCTTTTGTTATTTTCTCTCCGAACTATATGCTCAATGATCCGTTCACTGTTAATTTCCTAATTGGTAGAATATCATCCTACCCATTGTTTCCAATAGCCTGCAATAACAATTGATGCATCTCTCCGATTTAAGTAGTAAGATCTTTAATTCGCCGATTTTTAAGTGTCCAAATTTGTACTAGTAATTGTCATGTCACACATGGATATAAATCAAAGATATAGAGATGAAAAAGCCTACTCTGATACCATTTGACGTAGTGCGAAACAAGGAATCAAGCAAAAACCTTAAGAACACACAAATTAAAATCCACCAGAGAATGAAAATTAAACTCACAAAATTTTATTAATTTTAAGATGCTCAAAATTGAAGAATTAACCTTTATTTAGGTTCACATGAAAAACCTAGTTTAAAAGAACTAAAATTAAAAAGAATTCGAAATAAACTAAATGATAAAAATAGCATTAAAACTTAAAAAACATTTTCCAAATCCTAAACAAACTCGGATGGCTAAAATCCATCATATGTCACAACAAAGCAGTAGTTCAATCCGGCTCATCGTTATCTTTCCGAAAATGTGTTATGGGCTCAAATCGGAGTTCAAACGCCAAATCTATCGTTTACTATTTTTACTTTTTTTTTTTTTTTTTTTTTTTTTTTTTTTTTTTTTTTCTGTTTTAGTCAAACTGATCCTCAATCAATTCAGCCATCTGTTCTACATTAAGTGGGAATGTAGGATATTGGTGTTGGAGCTGCAAATTAAAGAGGGTTTGATGGTCGATTGCCTTGAGAAGTAGCAGAGCTAGGAACTCCATGTTGACGAGACGAACAGATTTTAAGGGGACAAAAAATCATTATATGATGTATATACAAATTTTTTTAAAGATTTTCAAAAAATTGAAAATGTTTCGGGGGCGATCGACCCTATCCTTAGCTGCGCTGCTGGTTAGAGCTTTCATTTATTAGCTGTGAAATGCTGTCGCTGTGTCGCAAGCAGCTTCAAGCCACAAGGTGCTTGAGAGAAACTAATAATCAGTAGTCTGAAATACTATTCTTG